CCTCATACACTCCATGTCCAAAAGCATGCTTGTCAAAATTGCATGGGTTTGAGAGGATATCAATGAGAGCTAGACATCCTCCTTGAAGTCGTGAGAATTTCATCATTTTGTGAGCAAATTGCACCAACCCTAAAGCCTGGCACCCCAAGATCCTTAGAGAGGCTATAAACTATGTGAATGATTCTAGGGTTTGTGTTTTTTGACATGATCCTTAGAGAGGCTATAACAAAGGGTGAAGAGGGGTTGAAGACTGTCCTTGAGTAGATTGCATTACATATAAGATGGATGCTTTTTTATGCTCAAAAAGTCTAGGATTTGGTGTAGGGTGCTGGCCTTTAGGGTTTGGCCAAGTGGGTTTGATGGGTTGGTTCTAAGGAGGGCCTTGACTCTTTTTCCTGGGAGTTGGGCTTCTTAATTCGACCAGTCAGGAACCAATGTTGCTACCTGTATTGTTGACATGGTTGACAATGTCGTCGCTCTAAGTCATCTGTATTCGGAGGCATCTGAAGGTCTGCAAGTTTGGTGGTTCAAGTAACTTCTTCTTTAACGCTATTGCGACTCCCGTCGATAATGTTGACAATGTTGTCGCTTATTCATGTGAAGTTTCTCCCAAATTGGTCGTTATTAGTTTCAAACTGTTTACTTTGGATTTTGTTTTATTCTTGCGGCCTTTTGAGGATGCCCTTTTAGCCTAGAGAATGACACATTCACAACCACGCGATTTGAAATCTAATAGACAAGAGTGATAGTGACCTCCTTGTATTAAAAGTCAATAGTCTATTTGTATAATTTTTATATTATGGTAAAAGTTTTATATAGAGCCTAAGCTCTAAACAATCAAATTAGAACGTACCTCAAAACTTTCACTAGAAGAGGTTGTTTTAATGCCCAAATTTTATCAAATTCTTCATCTCGACATCAAGATGCATGGACATCAGAAAAAAAATGGATTTCAAGTTTTGGAAATAGTGCATCTTGTAACTAATTTGTGGACCATCAATTTTTAAGATTTTCGACTTTTCATAGATCTGCTCGATCTACAGTATTTTTGAAACTTTCATTTTTATAACTAAAAATGAAAATATAATTTAAGGCTATCATAAAACTTTTTAGTATTGAAACCATATTTCTAGACACTATTTGAAGGTGGGTTCTAATTTGATTGTTTAGAGCGTTGGCTCTATACAAACTACACCCATATATTATATAATAATATATAACATGAAAAGCATATAATGTGACCATTTATCTTTGGTACAAGATGGTCACAATTAATCTTGACCATTGGACGTGAAATTGGGTGGCTGCATGTATTCCATTGGCCAAGCTCAAAGTTCGAAATAATTTTTCTTAAACTTTGTGACACACTCAAGCTATCAAATTTCACCTTTGATGATTATATAAGATGTGAAATTTCACATTTTGAAAGTCCCAAGTAGAAGGCTTGAAATTGAGTTTTGAAATAACATTTATCTCTAGGAGAAAGCTAGTATTCATTAGGTTAAAATTTAGACCTTGAAGGTTCGCAGTTCATCTTTAGAGCAACTTTGCTTCTTTAAGATCCTAGCTATGTGTCGAGAAAACCCTCAAGGTCTCGGGATCCAAAGTTTCTCTTGTAAGGGTAAACTTCAGACCTTGATCGTCCGAAAGATGATTAATAAAAAATAAAATAACTAATTGAAAAAGAAGAGTGTGAATGTACAAACAAACTTTTGAAAAGGAATGTTTAATAACAGTAGTTGGGGGTATTCATGTAAATTTATCTTTTTGTTAATTTCAATTCAATGAATAAGGGGTGCGGTTTCCATCAGGTTGCAACTTTAAACAATCCAATTAAAGCGCACTTTCAAATTTAATCAAAATATATAATTTTGAATTAAAATATTCTTAGGATTATCTCAAAATCTATTTTGATATCTAATTATAAAATTTTATACTTCAAAAATGGTCAAAATCAAGTAGATCTATAAATATATGAAAATTTTAAAAATGGACGGTCTAGATAATGTGTTGTAAGATGCATTATTTATGGAACTCAAAATCCTTTTTTCTTTCTTAATTATGCATCTCGATGTCGAGATGCTCAATTAGAGGGTTTTCAACATTTAACCAACCTTTTCCGATGTATTTTTGAAGTGCATCCTAGTTTTACATTTTAAAGTTGCAACCTTATATAAACTTTTTCCTTGAACAAAATATCAAATAGTTAATCATTTAGATTTTTAACAAATATTCTAAGAATTAAAGATAAAACAATATTGGGCAAGAAATTATAATAAATGTTTATCCATTTAGATTGGATGGACGGGAATATAGTTTACATGTATTATGTACGTTAATGGTGCCACAATACTTGTGGATGTCTCTGTCTCTTAGACATTGATGTATTTGTTTTCTCTCTATAAACAAATAGTCGATCGCAAACACCGGGGAGCTGGGGCCGAATTGTTGTTGTTTTCTCTCTGCACGTTTGGTTCACATGAAAATATTTTTTGAAATATATTTTTCACATGAAAAAATTCTCTCATACAATCAAGTTTCATAATATTTTTATATCAATTGGTCTTAGTGCATCTTTTCACGGCAATTGGTAACTAATTTTGCAAAACTATTTTTTAAACTTGTCCACATGAATGAATTTTTTCATGAAAAATTATTTTCTAAAAAAACGTTTTCATGTGAATCAAACGTGTAAGAGTCACTCCACCCAAAATAGGGTTTTCTCATATAAATTCCCTATGGTTATGCTTCCACCAGGATTGGAAATCACGCTTAGGCCTGAATAGTTAGTAGTGGACACTAGCAACTCTATGCCTCAAGTTTCATTCCTAATCTAAAGCACCCAAAGAATCACTAAACAAATGAAGCACCTTTTTGGCCTTTAGGCCTCAGATATCCTATTTTAATTAGAAAAATGTCAATTCCAAAGTAATAGGTTTCCTAAAAGTTAAATTTTTAGGACCGTTGACCCAGGTGGATTGTCCACCCTACATATCTATGTTAGATCACTAGATTGTCAATCCAGATTAATCCAAATAGATTTTAAATAGTGATCTAGAAGAATAGTAAATATGAAAAATAAAATAAATTTCAAAATAGTGACATATGGGTTGTATATTTAGAGAGACATAAGAAATCAATAAATAAGCTTAAAACAAAATTAAAAAGAAAATAAAACGAAAAGTTTTAAGGGAGAACCAGGCTGAAATTGATAGCATAATGTAACTAGTTTAGTCCTAGATGATTCCTAGTTCAGATTATCAAATTCTGAACCAAACCGTCGGTTTTTAAGATACTACCAAAAACTATGTAGCCCCTCATTATAAGATCTTATGCTTCTGGTAAGGCTAAAAGTTAATCGCCTATATAGGAAACTAGTCTGACTTGGTGAATCGCCAATTAGGATCCATAAACTGGCTGAGGTAATTGAAAAAATAAAATAAAAAAATAAACATCGAAACCAGGCAATCGAGCAACATCACTCGGTTCTTTGACAGAGTCGGAAATATTTCTTTTCGGTGCTACCCAATAAGAAGAGGGAGCACCTAAAAATTTACTAAAACTATTAGGAAAAAGTTTATATAGAGCCAAAGTTCTAAACAATCAAATTAGAGCCGCCCCCCCACCCCCCTCCCAACCACCCACCCAAAAAAAAATTTCACTAGAATAGGTTAAAAAAATTTCATTAGAATAGGTTATTTTGATGCCTAAATATCCTCAAATTGGTCATCTCCACATCAAAGATGCATGGACATAAAAAAATTTTGGATTTTAATTTTTAAAAATAGTGTATCTTGTAACGTATTTTTGGACTGTCAATTTTCAAGATTTTCAGGATATCATAGATATGCTTGATCTATACTATTTAAGAAGCCCTATTTTCAACTTTCATTTCTTCATAAACCCAAAATTTCAAAACTTATCTTCTAACGCTCCAAATAACTTCATCTATTTTTATTCCAACTTTTAACCTAAACAAATTTAAAAAGATATCTTTTTCTAACTCTCTCTCTTCATGCGTTTCAATATCTCTTCATGTAAATCTCCCCAACCCCTCTCTCTCTACTTCCTGAAATCCTTCTCTTTCTCTTCATTTTTCCCATCCTTTTTCTCTCTCCCCATGCTTCCTCACATCTGTTTCTCTCTCCTGTGATTCCTTGAATCCTTCTCTCTATCCCATGCTTCCCCCAATCTCTTTTATGTTTCCTAAATCCATCTCTCTCTAAATCACAATCTCTCTCATCCCAATCACAGCAACTACAGGGAATCATGTCTAGAGAGAGAGGGGTTTAGAGAGAGAGAGAGCACCCACACGTACAGGTCATCCTTAGAACTATGAGAGAAAATTTAGAGAGATAAAAAAATTGACGAAAATGAGGAGCAAAAGCTTCAACATAGAGAGATCCACCTCTAGAATGGGGAGATCAAAGAGCTTTATCCTATTCTCTGAATCGATCCTTTCATAGATTGCAAGGTTTATCAGCTATGAGAGGCTCTTAAAATCAATGAGAATCAAAGTAGGAGAAATTAGTAGCACAAGAAACTGTCTTCGAGCTCATTTCTGAGCCGTTTCTTTTCAAGTTTCGATAGGAGAGAGAAAAATGAAGTTTCGGTTGTAAAGGAGAAGAGAGAGAAAGAGGAGAAAGTGGTCATGGAGGCTGATAGGAGATGGCCTGACTAGGGTTGATGATAAGAGGGGATTTTGAAAAAAATTGAGAGATGGATGGGGTTTGGGAGGTTGATAGGGGGAGAGAGAAAGGGAATCATCTCAAGAGAGGGGGGTTTAGAAAATAATGTCTTTTTCAAATTTGTCTGGGTCAAAAAAATTAGTAAAAAATGAACAAAATATGTTTACAGGGTTATAAGATATAATGGAGTGAATTTCTATGTTCTAAGATAGGTTTTGCAACCTTAGATCAATGGATAAATGAAAGTTGAAAATAGGGTCTATAGAGATATTTTCCCTAAAATATATTGTAAAGCTTTGATTGCTTAAAACTTTGGCGCTATACAAACCACACCCAAAATATTATTTCACTAAAAATTCTATAAAAAATTAAAACTGTAAGTTAACATGTGAAATGAACAATCTCAGCCGTCCGATCGGCTAATAAACAAGAGAAGTGGGGTCACATGGTATATTATTTGTTTAAATACAGAGGCAGGTGGACCCCGACACAAAACTTTAGCTTTCCCAAGAGCAGACCCGAGAACCATGGATCATGCCAAGGCCCTAACACTAGATCCACCCATCTCCCCGCCGTCTTCTGACCAAACCCTAACCTTAGATCAACCAATCTCACCTCGAAAGAAGCTATCTTTAGAGCAAACCCTAACCCTAGATCCACCAATCTCAACCCAGAAAGCTCCATCTTCAGAGCAAACCCTAACCTTACATCCACTTGTCTCACCTCAGAACACGCCATATTCAGAGAAAGCCCTCATCCTAGGCCATGACCATCAACTCCAGAACATCATAGTGATGCACCATGGGGATCGACTAGATGTGTTGAAGCGCTCGTGGAAGCAAACTGCTCAAAAGTACAATAGCATTTTGGAAGTTAGTGTCCTGAAACTTTATTTGTAGAGTCCCTTTGTCCTTTAGTTAAAATTTAAACTTTACCCCTTATGGAGATGACAAAAGTATCATTTGTCTTATAGTAATATTTACAAAATTGCCCTACAAAAGTAACTTTTTTAAAAAATAGACTACAAAATTACTAAATCAACGCTTCACAACTCTCTCAATCTTGAACCTTTGTAATTTGAAGGGTTGTGAAGTTTAGATTATATATATATATTCCCAACGCTTATAGGTAAAAATGAACAGTGATTTCTTCTACCCTCATCACCGTTCAAAGTTCTTCGCATAGTCACAATTATCCAGTAGTCTTTTATTTTTCATTTTTTTAAAAAAAAATCGAAATAATCAAAGATTTGAAGTGTTTGTACATCTTAATGATGCGCACCAAATAAAAATATAAAAATAATAATTCATGGAAAAAATTGATCAAAATACCCCCAACACTTTATGGGGTTATTTTGGTCAACTTTTTTCATGTATAACATTTTTTTTTATATTTTTCGTAGATTCTCTCGTTTTTTTATGAA